GATTTGGATTAGGAAATGCTCACTGGTACAGTATATATGGCAGATAGCCCCCAAATTTGGAAAAAACCCCAGATCTGAAAACACTTTTGTTCCAGGGCATGTTAGATAAGGGTAGTCAACCAGTATGTACAGTTTTCAAAAGACAAGAAAGCCAGGTGTAGTGGTGGCTCAGCACCTGTAATCCCAGCAACCTTTGGGAGGAGGCGAAGGCAGGAGATCACCTGAGGTCAGGAGTTTGCGAAGAACAGCCTGACCGGCATGGAGGAACCCCGTCTCTACTAAAAATAACAAATTAGACTGGGGCGTGGTGGGTGCATGCTTGTAATCCCAGCTACTTGGGAGGCTGAAGGAGAATCACTTGAACCCGGGATGGCTCAGAGTGTTTTGTGGTGAGCTAAGTACTGCATATTGCACTCCTCTCGCCTGGGCACTGAGTGAAATCCGGTCTCAAAAAAAATAATATATATAATAAAGTTATATAATAGGAAAATATTTTCATATATGATTCTTTTTTGGGCGTTGTTTGTGGTGGCTTAAATCTTCTATATCTCTCCCATTCATCATGTGGTGATCTCTTGTGTGTTGGTTGTTTTTTGTTGAGTGGGGGGCAGATTACTTTGAGGTAAGGGGTTCGAGACAGCCTTGGCCAATATGGTGAAACCCTGTTCTCTACTAAAAATACAAAAATTGCCAGGCGTGGGTGTGTGCCTGTTAATCCCAAGCTACTTGGGAGGCTGAGGTGGGAGAATCACTGGAAACCTGGAGGCGGAGGTTGTGGTGAGCCAAGATCACATCACCTGCATTCCAACCCTGGCAACAGCGAGACTCCATCTCAGAAAAAACAACAAAACAAAAAATAAACGGCCGAGCCTGCCTTAGACCCCTTGGTGTGGCTTCTGTCCTGCCCGCTTCCTAGCCTCTCGCCCAGGGCTAAGATGCCCTTTCTAGCAGCAGAGCCCTGGAACCTTGTGGCAGGAGGTGAAGGTAGTTGTGGGGTGGTGGGCAGGGGTTCCTTGCAGAGGCTGAGTCCTCTGTGATGTTTGGGGTGAGGGTCTCAGCTGATGGGGGGCAAGGTCTCCCTACTGCTGCTCACTACAGGCTGTGGAGGAAACAGCACTGTTACGGGGCGGTCCTGCCTGATGACAGGAGGTTCCGTTAACTAAGCATCCTGGCTGGACCGGGCCTCGGGCCATATTCGAGCCCCTGAGCCAAGAGTCACACCTGGACAGCAATTCTCTGGCAAATAGGTATCATTACCTGCCCATTGCAGGGAGGAGGTGGATTTACTGTGAAGCTCATGAGGTGACCCAGCACTCACACGGGCCCCTTCCAAGTCCCTAAACTTAATTTTTGCTTCATTGAAGTAGAACTGACATACAACAGACTGTACATACCTAAAGTGGACAGTTTGATACATTTTGACAGATGGAGGCACCTGTGAAGCCATCACCACCATCAAGATAATATGTTCATTGCCCCCAAAAGTTTTTAACCTAATTTTGTATTTTTTTTTTTTTTTTTTGGAGACAGAGTCTTGCTCTGTCACCCAGGCTGGAGTGCAGTGGCCGGATCTCAGCTCACTGCAAGCTCCGCCTCCTGGGTTTACACCATTCTCCTGCCTCAGCCTCCCGAGTAACTGGGATTACAGGCGCCTACCACCTCGCCGTGCTAGTTTTTTGTATTTTTTTAGTAGAGATGGGGTTTCACTGTGTTAGCCAGGATGGTCTCCATCTCCTGACCTCATGATCCACCCGTCTCGGCCTCCCAATTTCTAAATGTCTTAGTCTTCACAAAAGTCGGGGTTTGCTCAGGTACAGAAAAGTTCAGTGAGACCAGGACAGGACGGCGCTTTGAAAGTTACGTCAGACTAATCAGAAGTATAAGGTTATTTGCGTGTATTTAACTCACTCCTTTGTCTGAGAAGACTAAAACAGTTACGGGACATCTGACCAGCATCTTAGCATTCATTCCTTTGTCATTCAGGCAGCAAGTGTTTATTGAGCGCCTACAGTATGCAGGCAGTTTTCTAGGTGTTGGGTATAAAAAAGTGAATAAATAGACCAAAAATCCCTATTCACATGGACTGTGGTTCTGATGGGGGTGGGGGCACAGACGGTACTGAAATAAGTTAGATTATGTGTTATGCTAGAAGGTGCTGTGGGGAAAAGGAAAGGCGGTGGGTGCCAGGGAGGGCAGGTAGGAGTACGACTTCAGCCCTCGGTGGGGTGGTCAGGGAAGAGATAGTGGCAGCCGAGGGGTGCAGGTGGTGTGGGACTCTGGGGCCGAGTGTTCCCTGGAGGAGAAACAGGAAGCACAAGGACCTTGGTGGGGCAGGTGTGGGCCTGGTGCATCCCAGGACAGTAAGAGGTTTAGGATGGAGCAGGTAGACTAGATCAGAGAGGTGACTGAACTGGGGTGGCCACATCCTGCAGGGGTTTCCATGCCGTTGTAAGGACTTGGACACCATTAATCTGGGGCAGATGGAAGCCGTTGGAGGGCTTCTGAATTTCGATAGGGTCGCTGCAGCTGCTGTGTTGAGCAGACTGGGAGTAGGGAATACACGTGGACGGTGATGATCCTAATGCAAGGCAGAGATGACGGGAACTTGGACCCTGGAAGGTGCGGTGCTGCACAGTGGCTGAATGAATTCTGGATATGTTTTGGAAGTGGAGCCACACCAGACTCGTTCATTCGTTCAGCGAGGAGGTGCCAGGAACTGCAGACTTGAACGGATGCATGATCTCTTCCTCTGAGCTGTCGAGAGTCTAACAAGGAAAGACAGACACGGACAACCGATGAGCACACGGTAACCTGTGTGCAAGGCACGGGCCGGAGGAGCAACCAAGAACTGTATCCCAGATGGTCTGCCATCCCCATCCCTCCTGCTACACCATCACCCACTTCGCAGCTCTTGGGAACCTCTTCCTCCCTCATTTGCCTCTTCCTTGCTCCGCAGACTAGTCTCTGAACTGGGCCTAGAGCATGTTCATTTTACAGAAAAGGAAACTGAGCCACAGAGTGTCCTCACTGACCAGCGTTGAGGTCTGTTCCCTACATTTGTAGAAATTTGGAAAAGATCTGCAGGAAAAAACCCCTTTTAAAGGAACTAAGGGATTCAAGAAGAGAAGGCCGGCCGGGGCCGGTGGCTCAGGCTGTCAACTCACGCGCCAGCACGTTCTGGCCGAGCGCCAAAGCCGGGCAGATCACGGAAGTCAGGAGATCGCAGACCAATCCTGGCTAACACGGTGAAACCCGTCTTCACTACAAAAATACAAAAAACAGCCGGGCGACGTGGTGGCCACCTCGTATGCCAGCCTTCACTTGGGAACAGCGCTGGAGGCAGGCGAGCTGGCAGGAACCTGCGGGCAGGCGAGCCTGCAACGGTGGACGCTGACGATCGCCACTGCGACCTCCAGCCTCGGTTGACCGAGCGCCAGACTCCGTCTCTCTAAACAAAAAACACAGGAGAAGAAAGAAAGAGAAGGCGTGATGAACGGTCCTTAAAGGGCAAGAGCACTTACCCGTGCCTCCCAACCTCACTCTGTGGACGGCTGCGGGCTCCTAGCCTGGCTCGCCAGCTCGCAGGTCTGTGGCCCTAGTTCATTCACCCACTGGTGATGACTTACACCCGAGATGCTGCACGGGTGACTTTAGCTAGACCTAGGGTAGAACTGTCGACCGTTCACTGGACCGCCAAAGCCTTTCCCTAGAACGCTTTGAGAGGAGACATCTTGTGGACTCAGGGTTTTAGGTGCAGAACAGCCCACGGACAATGTCCCCAGACTCCGATTCTCCCCTCCCTCCTTCCTCTGACACAGGCAAACCTTTGCAGACAGTACCTCTGGAGAGTAGCCTCTTAATTTGGCCTTGGCATTGGGGAAAGGTCAGCTGGGGGGTCAGCTTGGCCGTGGCCGTGCACTCTGGTTACAACCCAGGTGGCAGGCAGCCCACTCCCCTCACCTCCCCCACCATCAGCAGCTGCCTTCTGCGGACAGCCGCAAGTCCTCCAGGCTCCGCAGGACGGGGCGGGCTGGCAGCTGCTCCCTCTGATCCCCGCACTCAAACCCTCTTGCTCTGCCTCTCCTCACCCGCTGCTTTTCTGTATGGTCTAACACTACCCAGGGGTCAACGGCCACCCAAGGGTTTGCCTGACCACGCAGCCCGAACTGGCTCCTGGTCCTGTGAACACGCCCCTGTCCGTAGCACCCATGGATTCCATTGTGTGGGCACATGCCACTCCTGAACTAGGTGACGCTTTGAGATGAGGAACCCCTTTGCATCATCTTTTTCAATACTGGACGCCATGGACGCTCTTTGGGGTTTTCCAGGATGCTTCAGGCACAGCGGCAGTCCCTCGGGGGGTGGGCCCGTGGGGAGTGCTCAGCCTTCCTTGTTGAGGGCTCCGCGTCTGCCATGGGGCTGCATATGTGCACTCACTGGCTTTTCTTTATGAGCGAACAGGCTCAGGCCTCCTCTCCGGGTCGCTAAGTGTCTCCAGCAGTTGCACCCCCCATGCCTGCTGCTGCCTGCAGACAGGACAAGAAGTCTGGACGCTCCTACTCGTTTACAGAGGCGGAGGGCACGGTGGCAGTCACACAGGGCAAGGCCGAGGGCCGGGCACCTCCCTGGAGCCTCCCAAGTGTGAAGAAGGCCCCAGGAGAAAGTGTGGGGAGAGGGGAGGAGGTGGCCAGCGCTGAGGAACGGTGCCGGGGGTCAAGGGAGGCTCTGGAACTTCGTCAGGCTGTGTGTGGTTGGTGGCCATGGGCCCTGTTAACGTTGTTCGCAGGTTTCAGTCCCCACAGTGAGGCCTTGTCTTCCTCTTGCTGCTGGGAGATCCCTGTGATCCAGAGAGGGAACCCACAGAATCCTCACCCCACAGATCTGCTTAGGATGGGCAGAGAGGGAGCGTAGGGCTCCTCCCCCGCAGAAGGTGCCCCGCACCCCCTCACCGCTTCCAGCCTTTTGTCCTCTCCGCTGAGAGGCTGCTGGTGTCTCTGCAGGTCGGAACGAGCTGATTGCCCGCTACATCAAGCTCCGGACAGGGAAGACCCGCACCAGGAAGCAGGTGGGCCTCAAGAGATGGGTAGGGGTCCCAGGGGTGGTACCCCAGCACCAGCCTGCTCCCAAGGTGGGCCAGGCCCTCCCAGGACCAGACGCAGACTTTCAAGGTGCGGCAGCTCTGGATGAGTTATCTCTGTTGGGCGTGTCACGGGTGGTCCAGTTTTTCTTTTTTTCTTCCTGAGACGGGGTTTCACTCGTGTTGCCCAGACTGGAGTGCAATGACGCGATCTCAGCTCACCGCAACCTCCGCCTCATGGGTTCAAGCCATTCTCCTGCCTCAGCCTCCCGAATAGCTGGGGTTATAGTCACCCGCCACAACGCCCAGCTAATTTTTTGTATTTTTAGTAGAGACGGGGTTTCACCATGTTGGCCAGGATGGTCTGGAATTCCTGACCTCATGTAATCCACCCACCTCAGCCTCCCAAAGTGGTGGGATTACAGGCGTGGGATTACATGCCCGGCTGGGTGGTTCGGTTTTCTTGGGGTCCCTGCTGTCATCACTTAGGAGGAAACTCCTTCCCTCTCTGGAGAGTCAACAGCCCCCTCTTATCCTTCTCCAGGACACCAGGACAGACAGTAAAACATTGGCACTACTTTTTTTTTTTTTTTTTTTTTTTGAGACAGAGTCCCGCTCTGTTGCCCAAGCTGGAGTACAGTGATGCAATCTCCACTCACTGCAACCTCCGCCTCCTGGGTTCAAGCAATTCTCCTACCTCAGTCTTCCAAGTAGCTGGGATAACAGGAATGCGCCACCACACCCAGCTAATTTTTGTGGTTTTAGTAGAAATGGAGTTTCACTATGTTGGCTGGGCTGGTCTCGAACTCCTGACCTCAAGTGATCCACCTGCCTTAGCCTCCCAAAGTGCTGGGATTACAGGTGTGAGCCACTGCTCCCTGCCGGCACTGCGCTTTTGAAATATTGCCAGCTTCTGGATTAGCTGGGCAAGGCAGGACTGAGGGCCGACCAGTTGACCCTTTCATTCATTCATTCATTTTGTCCACAGATGTGGATCGAGGGCGGTGAAGGGCGAGGGTCGGGAAGCCAGAAGCCAGGCTGGGGAACACAGGTTGTTGGGAGGTAGAGACAGGAACCCTCTCTCCCTGCCATAGGTTTCCAGCCACATCCAGGTGCTGGCTCGTCGCAAAGCTCGCGAGATCCAGGCCAAGCTAAAGGTAAGGAAACTGCAGTGTTGGGGGCTGGAGGGGCCAGGAGTGGTGGCTTTCTCCAGCAGTATGCCTTCCCTTTGGGGTCAGGGCGTGGCTGCTGGTGTGCGAGTCAGTGTGCTTCTCTTTGTTGAGGAAAGCCAGGTTGGGCCTGTAACCTGTCTCCCATCCGCACAAGAGGGCCAAGTGGTAGACGCCTGGCTCCCCACACCCTGGGAGCTACAGGCCAGGCTCCTGCTGGGATCCCCCCTCGCTGGCTCCTGCTTAGAGGGGCTCACATGGCTCAGAGCAGCCAGATCACCCGCCAGCCCTCATTTCTTGAGGGCGCCTTAGTGCCCTCAACCAGAGCATGTAGAGCAGCAGGGGCATGGGGGGGCGCCTGCTGTGGGGGTGGGGGTGGCGTTTATGGTATTGTGGGAGCTGGGGAATTCCTTCCTGCTTCCTGCCCTGTGGGACTGGGGGTTCCTTCCCTTCCCTGGGTCAGCCCCGTCTTGCAGGGCCCCTGCTCATAGGTGACAGCTCTGGGGGGCCTGATGTTGCGGCATTCCCCTCGGGGTAGCCCTGCTCCCCACAGGAGTCAGGCCTCTGGGACCCTGGAACTGGGGGCCTTTGGGTGAACACTAGGAGGGTGTGAGCTCTCCATCAGGGAGATGATGACCACAGAGCCTGCACAGCCAGTCGGTGGGAAGATCTGACATTTGAGGCATTAAGTCTAGACCATTTATAAACATTTTTATTGATGTATTTTTAGAGACAGGATCTCCGTCACCCACGCGGAGTGCAGTGACGCAATCATAGCTCACGGCCGCGTTGACCTCATAAACTCCAACCATCCTCCCACCTCAGCCTCCTGAGTATCTGGGACCACAGGCAAGTGCCACTGCACGGCCATTTTTTTCTATTTTTTTATAGAGACAGAGTCTCCCTATTTTGCCTGAGAGGTCCGTAAACCTTGGGGCTCAAGAGATCCTCTTGCCTTGGCCTCTCAAAGTGCTGAAATTATAGGCATGAGTCACTGGGACTGGCCTGCAAACATTTTTTTTTTAAAGCAACGTAGCCCCTTTCCTTTTTTTCTCCCAACAAAATATCACGCTGGTGTGTTATCAGAGGAGCTGTTCTGGTCAAAGCTAGGTTGGCAAGGCTCCTCTCCTCCCGTGAATCCTTTCCTACCTCATGACACTTGGACTCTAGGGGACCTCAGAACCCAGTTTAAAAGCTACTGGGAGGTCAGGCATAATGGCTCATGCCTGTAAGCACTTTGGGAGGCCAAGGTGGGCGGATCACTTGAGGTCAGGAGTTCGAGACCAGCCTGGCCAACATGGCGAAACCCTGTCTCTACTAAAAATATAACAACTAGCCAGGTGTGGTTGCGCACACCTGTAATCCCAGCTACTGGGGATGCTAAGGTAGGAGAATCGCTTGAACCTGGGAAGCAGAGGTTGCAGTGAGCCAAGATAGTGCCACTGCACTCCAACCTGGGCAACAGAGTGAGATTCCATCTCAAAAAAGCCACTGGGCTAGCTGGGCACGCACGCCTGTAATCCCAGCTACTTGGAGGTTGATGGCAGGAGGTGGAGTCTGCAGTGAGCTGTGACTGCACCTGTAACTGGCCACTTCAGCCTGGGCAACATTGTGAGACCCCATCTCTAAAAATATTTTTTATATTAAAGAAAAGCCACTGAATTAGATGACCTTGAAGGTCCCGTCTGGCCCTGGCAGTTCATGATCCTGACACTGGAATCTCAGAATGAGTGGGCGGGAACCACAGACCTTTCTGCCTCCTAGGAAGCCACACCCCACTGCCCACTCAGTTCCATTCCTCCTGCCATCAGCCCAGCTGTTCCCCAAGCCCCACAACTGTGGCCTGGCACCTCGCTCCTTTTTCCCTGGGACAGCTGACCGGCCCTCAGCTGTTGCTCCCTGCCTCTCAGCCTGGCTGGTGTACCCTGGAAGCACCCACAACCTAGCCCTGCTCCCTGTTTCCCCTCTTTTGTCCGCCTCTGACTCACCGGGACCCCGCAGATGACCACAGTGAATAGACTTCCCACTGCTGCGTTTAGGGCAACCCCTTGGGGGCCAGCTGTGAGGCCCAAATTTGCCTCAGGGAATTGTATTCATCCTTGTCCACAGGTTCTGACTTGGGGCCCAAGGACAGCCTTCAGTGGATGGCTGGACAGACACCAAGGGGAGCCATAAACTCCTTAAAATATGCAAATTTTCATGTATATGTGAGTTTCCTTGGAGAGATTGCTGTGAGGATTTTGTCATATTCTCAAAGAATCTAGAACCCAAAGTTATTAAGCTCTGGGTTAGAGAGTGATCCGGTAGAAATCCCTGAGTGAGAGGCTGGGTCGTAGGCCTGGCTCTGCCCCATGGCCGTGGGTACTTGGGCAAAGTCACTGGGACCTCCTGGAGCTCCGTTCAGTTTCCTCATCTGTAAAGTGACAGACGAGCAAGGTGATATCCAAGTGCCCCTCCCGGCCCCAGTTAGTGGCTCCCTGGCTCCATTGCCCGGCCACTGCTGTCACTCCCATCAGGTCCTTCCCACTTCCTCCTGACCCCTGCCCTACCCTGCTCAGGCCGTGGTTTCCTGAGCCCCAGCCGTTTGTTTAGATCGAGTATCCAGGAAGGCAGGCACTGAGCAGGTGCAGCCCCGGCCTCGTGATGCAGTTAAGTGCCGAGGTCTGCGGGCTCGCGGGGGTGCGCCTGCCAAGTCCCTCATGCCCTCCTGCAGGGAGAGGCCGGGGGCTGGCCTGGGCGCTTTCCTCCTGAAAACTGCAAGTGTCCCTGGATGAGACACACCCTTAGACTTACTAGTTAGCTCCCTCTTTGGTTATCAGAGACAACCTCTGAGAGCAAAGCCCAAGTTTGGCCCCAAAAGGACAGTGGGGAGGAGGCCAGGAAGGACCAGGGACAAACCTCATCTGTTTCACTGCTTTGTCCACGTTGACAATGACCCACTGCTCAGAACGGTTCCCCACTCCCCACTGCCCTCTACGATGCGTCTCCCCGGACCCCTTCATTTGCACGGCCCCCTGTGTGCCAATCTGGACCGAGCTCAGCTGGCCACCCTCACCACTCTCAGCACCCTAGTCACCCAAATTCTCGGAGCCTCAGTTTCTTCATCTTAAAGATCCTACTAGTCCTGCCAGTCTCAGGATGCAGTGAGGTCGTGTTCTTGAAAACCTTCCCTGGGCTGCCTCATGCCACATGGGTGAAATGGTCACCTTGAGAGGCTGAGTGGAAGGGCCTGCTGTGTTCTGGCTCCACACCTGTATGGCACCAGGACGGCAGGGGAGCACTAAGCCTCTCTGAGCCTCCGGGCTGCAGTGCTCCCCGCCTCATGGAGCTGCAGTGTGGACCGTGTCGAGGCATCCCTCAGAAGAGCTTGTGAGGTGCAAGGCTCGCCGCTGCTTCTCAACTTCTGTTTTTACTTTATTTTTTAGAGACTCCCACTCTGTCGCCCAGGCTGGAGTGCATTAGTGCTGTCACTGCTCACTGCAGCCTCGACCTCCTGGGCTGAGGTGATCCTCCTGCCTCAGCCTCCCAAGTAGTTGGGAGGTTCTCAACCTTTGTGTCACTTAAGGGAGATCCGGATCTACCAAGTTAATTATTATTAGTCATTCAATAATGGTTTTATCTTTCTCATTAAAAAAAAATTCATGGCTGGGGGCAGTCGCTCATGCCTATAATCCCAGCACTGGGCGGTCGAGGCGGGAGGATCACTTGAAGCCAGGAGTTTGAGACCAGCCTGGGCTAATGAGATGCTGTCTAAAAAAAAAATAATAATCATAAAGATATTTATTTATATATTTATTTAGACAGATTCTTGGTCTGTTGCCCAGGCTGGAGTGCAATGGTGCAATCTCAGCTCACTGCAGTCCCTGTTTCCCAGGTTTAAGCTATCCTCCCACCTCAGCTCCTTGAGTAGCTTGGCCAAAGGCACACACCACCAGACCTGGCTAAGTTTTGTATTTTTTGTAGAGACAGGTTTCGCCAAGTTGCCCAGGCTGGCCTTGAACTCCTGGGCTCAGGCAATCTACCAACCTCAGCCTCTCCAGGTGCTGGGATAACAGGCATGAGCCACCGCTTCCGGCCAGATACCAAATTTCTAATCAGAGCTCCTGAGTTGACTCAGTCGAGCCATTTAGCCCTGATAAAGCCGCAGACAGTGAATGATGCTTGCTGTTCCAGCCTGGGTGTGTGTGGTCTTTTGGGATAATCCCTGCTGGGTACAGTAACGCATGCCTGTGGTCCCAGCTACTCAGGAGGCTGAGATGGGCAGATCATTGGAGCCCAGGAGTTTGAAGCTGTAGTGAGCCACAATTGTGCAGTACTCCAGCTTGTGTGACAGAGCGAGACCCTGTCTCTGAAAAAAAAAAAAAAAGACACAATTTCCATTAGGCTTCTTGAAATAGGGAATGTTGTGTCATTGGTTTTGAAGACCTTTGGAATTCAGGCACTCAGGATGGAAACCACTGGCTTATATGAATATAGCAAACTATTACTATTGTTACCTGTGCCATCCACGTGGCTTTCCCTGTGTGCTCATTTGTTCCGGGCCTATTCAGGGTGAACCCATCCTCTGGGGTCTTAGAGCCTTTGGAAGGCAGACAGTGGGTATTTACCTTCTGATACGTGAAAGACGGGTGAGTCCCAGGTGCCTGCCGTGCCCAGGGAGATCCTTAGGGAGGACCGAGGCAGGTCGGGCCACAGGAAATGGTCTCTTGCCTCCAGACAGCCCGTGTGGCCAGGGACGATGCTTTCTGTGCACTTGAGTCGGGATCCAGCAGATATTTATGCTTCGTTTTCACAAGACAAGTGCTGAGCTGGGCACCCGAGGTAGAGAGGTGAGCAAAGCATAGAAGACCCTGGTTCTCGAGGTGGCCCCGTAATTAATAAAATGACAGATAATGTCTCTCTAAGCTCTGAAGAAATAAGCAGGCAAGTGTCATGCCCCTTTGACAGATGAGAAAACTGACCAGAGAAACCAGGTGACTTTTTATCAGTTGTAAAACAAGTTAATAGCATGGCACAGACTTAACGCCTGGTCCCCCAGCTCTGGCCACTGGCAGTGAGACAGCTTCCCTGACCCCAGAGCCAGACCCGCCTGGCCTCAGCCTGACTAGTGACCCTGCTGAGGTCCTCCCTTGCAATGTCTCCCCCAGGACCAGGCAGCTAAGGACAAGGCCCTGCAGAGCATGGCTGCCATGTCGTCTGCACAGATCATCTCCGCCACGGCCTTCCACAGTAGCATGGCCCTCGCCCGGGGCCCCGGCCGCCCAGCAGTCTCAGGGGTAAGTGGGCTGCCGAGAGCCGGAGGCCAGGCCAGCCCTCTCCTCCTCCCTCCTGCCTGTTCAGAAGGACCAGAAGCATTGGCCAGCCCAGATTTCTCTCACCTGAGTCCTATTGGCCAGGGCAGTCAGGGAAGGAGGGAACAAGACCAAGGGGCCACACAAGTCCCGGCTTGGCTGATACTGGGATGCCTTTCTTTGGGTCCTCAACAGTGACTGCAGACTTTTCACAAGGGGGAAATGGGAGCTTCCAGGAGCTGACCAACTGGTAGCTCTGCCAAGTTGGCCCAATTTACAGATGAGGAAGCTGAAGCCAAGGTGGCTGAGCTGAAGCCTGAGACCAGCATGTCCCTGGGCAGCCCGTGCCATGCAGCCTCATTCCTGCCCTCCTGCCAGGTGGAGAGCTGGTGCCCAAGAACAAACCCCGGTCAGATTTTAAATTTCCCAGCCATGACCATGTTGGCCACACTCTCAGAATGATCCAGAAAAGCCCCTTTTCAGAGCTGTCTCCTCGGAGAGGTTTCTTGGCTCCAGGGACTAAATGAGTCTTCAAGGCACCTGCAGCACCACCGTAGGCACGTGAGGAAGGGGCAGTGCCAGGCCACAGCAGTTTTCAAAGTGTGTCCCAGAGAGCACTCGTCCATCCGCATGTTAAACAGATGGGACACAGTGGTGCTGTGGGTACGTTCGGGACCCTTGGCACTAAGTGGGTTCTTGGCACTGGGACTTTTCCGAGCCTTAGGCCTGCACTGTGACTCTGCAGGGGGTTGTCCTGTGCAGTGTGGACCACACCTGGGTGCTTTTCCCCTGGAACCCCTCATCCACAGGGCCTGAGAGCCCCCTGAAACCCACTCTGGGGGTGCTGCTGTGGTCTGTTAGCATTCACTAGCTAGACGAGGGCGAGGGCTCCAGCCTCTCCTCCCAGTGGAGGCCCTGCCCTGTCCCACCCCCACCCCCATGCCACAGGGCCCTGGGTGCACCTGGGGCCATGCTGATTCTATGCCTTTTGCCTCCTCAGTTTTGGCAAGGAGCTTTGCCAGGCCAAGCCGGAACGTCCCATGAGTGAGTATGGCCTGCTTTCTGCTGCCAGTTGCTCCCTGAACTGAACTTGAACCCATAAACTCATGACATTGAGCCCGGGCCCCAGGGTGTGCTGGGGCTGCTGCTGGGGTCCGCCTTTCAGGATGGCTTTGAGCTCAGGGATTGGGCTCTCCTACTCTCAGGCATCACTGGGCTCATCTGTGATGTCCACACCCTAGGGTGGTATTTGCCAAAACCCCAGTCTGTCCAGGGTGTAGGCAGGGCCAGAGCTGAGGTCCCCCAGGGGAGGAGGCTGGGAATCAGATCTCGGGCTGGCCTGGGAGGAGGAAAGGGAGGGGTGGATTTCTTCATCGGACACGCTGTGTCTGTGACCCACCACGAAACCCAAGGGAGTCGGCAGGGGCGGGAGTAGGAGGCCAAGGCCCATCAGGAGCACTGAAATCCAGACCACCAGGACCTACCACACAGAGACCACTGGCCCCAGTGCAGGGATCCGTGGTGGCAGCCTGCCCGAGGCTAACACCTCCCCTCTTCTCTCTCCCGCAGTGTGAAGCCTTTCTCTCAGCAAACCTATGCTGTCCAGCCTCCGCTGCCTCTGCCAGGTGGGTGAGCGCTGCGTGTCTCCCTTGCCATCCATCACAGCTGTGCGGCTCTGGCCTCTGGGTCCAGGCCCCTGCATGTCCCTGTTAGATGCTGCCCCATCACGCATTCCGACCACACATCCTGGTCCCTGGCCACACCCCATTCCTTGCCCCCAGGAAGCACACCTCAGCTGTGTGCCAAGCCCCTTTGTGCCCTTCGGGTTGCCTTGTCCCTGTCCCCTCCCAGCTGTGCTCAGGGCTTGTGGGGCACATGCCTTCCAAGGGCAGTGCCTGCGCCCGGGTGGCTGCCCCACTTGGCCTACCTTGTTACTGCAGTGTGCCTCGCGCACCTGGCTCCTGGGAGGGCTGAGGGGCGTCTAACTCACCAGCCTGGGGCCCCTCCCGAGAAGAGGGACCCTTGTGAAAGAAGACCTGGTGGAGGCAGCCAGCTCTGCTGACAGGAGCCCCCCCCGCCCTCTCACTGACGGGCTCCCCTCTGTCCTCGCTTCTGTCTCGGGAGGGGCCCTCACCACCTCCCACTCCGTAGGGCAAGACCAGCTCCTCACCCTTAAACTGCCCATTCTGGTGTGGACTCTGCCTGCCCAGCCCCTTGGCTTTCCTGCCACCGAGAGCAGCCCTGCTGCCTCCTGCCCCCCCACGTCCTGAAGGCAGCGTTCTCTCGTTCACACATCAAAACGAAGTCACAGCGTCGGATCTCGTCCACCCTCTGTCTCATGGCAGTCCTCTCCCGTCCACGCTGACCCTGTCTTCACTCCAGGCCTGCTGGCTTTTGCCTGTGTTCCTGCAGCAGCCTCTTCACCAGCTCCCTGTCCCGTCTCACCTCCTCTCGTCACCCTGTCACTCACCAGAGCTTCAGTCTCATGGTGTTGCTTCCAGGCTTATGGTGCCTTCCTGGCCCCCTGTTGCCTTCAGGACATGATCTAAACTACAGTAGGATGGAGTAGCTTCATCTGTTAGCAGCGCTGGATGGAGAGCCTCTTCTGGGCCAGGCCCTGTTCTAGGAGCTGGGGAGACACCTGTGACGCACACAGGAAATGTCCCCGTCTCTCCGGGGTGATGCCACATTGTAATAGTTGATTCATCTGGTTATTTCCCCGACGGGAACAGAAGTTGCTGGACGGCAGGAACTGAACAGTGCCTGTTCTGGAAGCTGTGGTCCTGCAGGACCCCAGTTGCCCTCCAGAATCCAGTCTTGCTGGGCGGTTCCATGCAGAGTCCTGAGTGGCCTGAGTTGTACCAGATGAGCCCCTCCCCACCAGAGAGGCTCCGGGATGCCCAAGCCTTGCGCTCTCTCCTCCACCTCTGCTAGGAGGTCCGTTTAGGGAGACAGGCGGTCCCCCAGGCAGCACGGGTCTGTCCGAGGAGGCCCGGGGTCCTTGCAGAGGGTGCGGGCAGGGCGGGTGTCCGTGACCAGGTTCCATGTGCCTCTCTCACTTTGTGCAGGGTTTGAGTCTCCTGCAGGGCCCGCCCCATCGCCCTCTGCACCCCCGGCACCCCCGTGGCAGGGCCGCAGCGTGGCCAGCTCCAAACTCTGGATGTTGGAGTTCTCAGCCTTCCTGGAGCAGCAGCAGGACCCGGACACGGTAGGTCCTGGCCTGTGCCTGGCTGGCTCCCTGCCACCCCCTCTGCCTCTGTTTCTGCTTCCAGTGCTCTTGTCCCACTCCACACTGGGGCTTAATTCAAGTTCCTTGTTCCTTTATGGTCTTTCCTTCCGTCCTTCCCCCGACTCCTTTCCTCCTTCACGTCACCCCCTTCCCTCTTTCCCTCCTCCCTGGCCCAGTGCCCTGTTCCTCCCTCCCTGTCCTGTGTTCCTCCTCCCCTCCTAACCCAACCAACCCTTAGTCCAAGGTCGCTGTGGTCCCAGCCCCACCCCCACACTGTCCCAGCCTTTCCCTGGCTCTGAGAGGCAGGCAGGAAGCTGAGGAGTCTCCTGTGCGTCTGCTCCACATCCTACGGGATGCCAGCCTGTTCCCTTCAGTGTCCAGTGTCCTGGGTGACCAGCGTCACCTGCAAAGATCAGAGGGGGACCTGGAGGAGGCCAACGTGACAGGATGCCAGGGCCCTTCTCACTCTGACATCTTCAAACTTTTTTTTTTTCTTTTCTTGAGACAGAGACTTGCTCTGTCGCCAGGCGCTGGAGTGCAGCTGTCCGCTCCGCGGCGCACTCTCAACTTACGCTAACCCTCCGGGCTCCCTCACTTCGAAGGCGACTTCTCCCTGCTTACGCCTCCCGAGCTAGGCCGGGATTATAGGTGGCCACCACCCCAAACTGCGGCTTCAAATTTTTGTATTTTTAGTAGAAGACTGGGCGTTCCACCCATGTTCGGCCAGGCTTGGTCTTGAACCCCGACCTCAGCTTTCCACACAGTGCGGATTCAAGGTGGAAGCCACTGTGCCGAGCGCTCAAACACTTCATTTTTCAAGCGCTCACCGACCCCCGTGAACCCGACAATCGACTCTTAGAAGTCTCCAGGAGTGTTAGAATAAACAGAAGCTTTTACCATCTTCGTTTCACTCATCGGCCGAAACTATGGTCCAGAAAGGCAAGTGCGCTTGTGCCGGCGCACTCCGCGCATCACAGAGAACACGAAGAGCAGCCTGTCTGACTCGTTCCTGGCCTTGTGCTCCACTCCCTCCCAGCACCCTCACTCTCCCATCAGTACAGACAAGCACCTCGTTCGTGCACCTTGGCCAGTCAGGCCACCACGCTAGCAGCGACCCTACCCTCCCGAAGCCTGGACATCCGCCAAACCTCTACTGACAAATTCCCGGACGAAAAGGGTGGACCGCTCCAACGGCAGCTCCCTTGAACCCACCCTCCAATTGCTTTTTTTTCTTCCGTGAAGTTTCTGGGGTAAACCCCTGTGATAAACTCTTCTTCCTAACCACTCACGGCGCGGTCCGTTCCGGTAGCGGGAACATGGGGTGACACGTCACACGAGCGTCGCCTTGCACAGTATGACAAACTGGGAGCGTGCACCATGAGAAGGGCCAGATGCAGGCAGCCAGCATGGCTATGCCGTGCTCAGCAGCTGAGCGACCGGAACAGGCGGATGATCGCAGCACGCACGCCGGCCTAGTCCCGAATGACAGCTTGTCTCGCGGGTGTGATGGCAGCACCGGGCAAGAGTGGAGGGCCCTCAGCGAGGTGACAACGTTCCAGAAAAAACAGCAGCACACGGGACGCTAACACGGGGAATGAGTGAAGAACATGATGAGGAGCCGCCCTCATCCACCCGGGGTCTTCTGAATGACACACGTCGCCGCAATCCGGCTCTCTCGGGCGGCGCGTCTTCCAGTGCTCAGGCGGCCACAAGGCATGTTTTGGCGCTGCACAGCAGCTTCGCGCACGCACACGCGCGCAAGGCGGAGTGTTTGTCGCGGCGACGGCCACAACCCAGCAGAAACACCCCACAACTTCAGAATAGCGCACTAGACCCTGGCTCCTGCGCCTACCCACCTCACCCTGGCAGTGCGTCGTTTTCTGGCGTAGAACTCCTCCATGTAGAACTTCTCGCTGAGGCCAGAGGTACCAAGCTGCCCTCTGGGATCCTAGCTTCTGCGGCCAGTATCCGGTGCAGCAAAACCCAGGGCGCGTTCGAGGAGAGAGTTCAGCAGCAAAAATAATTGAATGAGAGAAGTCACGCACAACACCTCAATGCTAATGAACCGCAAGGCGCGCTGAGGAAGGACAGGAAAACGAGGCTCTGTGACCGAGGCTTGGAATCACATTCTCAGATGACATGGAGCTGAGGTTTTGTGGGCGCTCTGCCCGCATCCTCTTCCCCTCCTTTCAGGCTCTCTGCACGCTCGTTTCTCTTTTTTTTTTTTTTTTTTGAAGACGTGAAGTCCTCGTCTGCGTCGGCCCAAGGTTGGAGTGCGCTGGCGCGATCCTCAGGCTCACTGCGCAAGCTCACACCTCCTGGTTTCAGCGGCATTCTCCTGCGTCAGCTCCTCAAAGTACGCTGGACTACAGGCGCCTGCCACCACGCCCGGCTAATTTTGTTTTGTATTTTTTAGTAGAGACGGGGTTTCACAATGTCAGCCAGGATGGCCTCGATCTCCTGACCTCGTGATCCGCCCGCCTCGGCCTCCCAAAGTGCTGGGATTACAGGCGTGAGCCACTGCGCCCGGCCTTACATGCTCTTTTCAATGCCTCTTGTGCAGAGATTCTTGCCATTTATTTGCTCCCAGGCCATTTTCATAATCTGAAAGCTTTACTTTTCCTAGAAAGAGGCGTATTCACACCAAAGTTTACATACACGTTCAGATGGCTTGCCAGCTCCCAGTGAGGAGCCCCCAGCCTGGCTCTCACCCACAGCTGAACGTGGGGGCAGGCTGTCTCTAGAAGGGACAAGTGTTGGAACTGAGACCTAGGGCCCCTGACCTTCAAGACACTTAGCGTTTGCGCTCTGCTAGCAGGATGGAAGTTGGACCCCAGCCTGAGGGATGGGCACAGCTGTTGGCAAAGATGGGCAAGGCTGTTGCAGCCTAGGAGTGCATGAGTAGTAAAGGCAGAAGGAAGTGGGCTCTGGAGTGAAGTTGAAGCCGTAGGTAAAGGTATGAAAGTGGGAATAAGAGGAGACAACTGGAAAAGTGAGTTAGATTCTGGAAGGTCTAGATCATGCTAAAGTTTGAGTTTTTACCTGTTCTGGAATGAAAAATAAGTAATATTTTATTTTACTTGGTCTTCTTTTTAACTTAATGCATGTTTATGGTTAAAATGTTAATTAATACCAGGAGGCTTATTTAACAAAAAAGAATGAAGGGCCAGGCACGGTGGCTCATGCCTGTAATCCCAGCACTTTGGGAGGCTGAGGCGGGCAGATCACAAGGCCAGGAGTTCAAGACCAGCTTGACCAACATGGTGAAACCCCATCTCTACTTAAAAAAAAAAAAAAAATTAGGCAGGCATGGTGGCGCACGCCTGTAATCCCAGCTACTCAGGAGGCTGAGGCAGGAGAATCACTTGAACCTGGGAGGCAGAGGTTGCAGTGAGCCAAGATCATGCCACTGCATTCCAGCCTGGGCAACAGAGCAAGACTCTGTCTCAAAAAAAAAGAATGAAAAGCATCATATTCTTGTCCTACTCCTCCCCACACCCAAATCCCAATCCCCAAAGGTAGTCACTGCAAATTTCAGCTGTTTATTTTGGGCTTTATCTCTTTAGTTCTAAGTAATATGCTTATATTGCTATATCTCGATGCCCAGTTTAAGACATTTTATTTTCATTCCACTTTCCCCCCTTATCATCCCAATGTAATTATATCCAATAAGTTATTTAATTTAGCAAAAGTCATAAAACGTTCACATTTTTTGACAATGTAGATTGATCACCAAAGAGCCAAGAACGGGCCGGGTGTGGCGGTTCATCCCTGTGATCCCAGCACTTTGGGAACCCAATGTGGGCAGATTACTTGAGTTCAAGACCAGCCTGGGCAACATGATGAAACCCTGTCTCTACAAAAAATACGAAAAGTAGCTGGGCGTGGTGTGGCATGCGCCTGTGGTCTCAGCTACTTGGGAGGCTGAGGTAGGAGGATTGCTTGAGCCCGGGAGGCAGAGGTTACAGTGAGCCAAAATCGCACCATTGCATTCCAGCCGGGTGACAGAGCAAGACCCTTCCTCAAAACAAAACAAAACAAAACAAAACAAAACAAAATACAAAGAGTCAAGAAGGGTATTATGATTACATTTTTACTTCTTGTACAACTTTTTTTTCCTGAAAATAAATGGCCATTGCATATTTCTTAATGGGCCTATTCTTAAAATTTTATAGATTGCTCCATCAAAACCACCATATAAAATTAAAATTTTTTTCCCCAAATATTCAGAACTATTAGATAATTTATCCATTTCTCCTTTCTCCTGGAGATCTTCCTCCTGGCTGCCTCTGTTCTGCTCCAGTTTGAACGTGTTATTCTTTTTTTTTTTTTTTGAGCCAGAGTCTTGTTCTGTCGCCCAGGCTGGAGTGCAGTGGCGCGATCTCAGCTCACTGCAACCTCCACCTCCCGGGTTCAAGCACATTCTCCTGCCTCAGCATCCCAAGTAGCTGGGATTACAGGCACCCGCCATCCTGCCTGGCTAATTTTTGTCTTTTTATAGAGACAGGGTTTCACCATGTTGGCCAGGCTGGTCTTGAACTCCTGACCTCCGGTGATCTGCCCACCTCGGCCTCCGAGTGCTGGGATTACAGGTGTGAGCCACCACACCCAACCCGAAGGTGTTCTTCTCTAGGCTTGCCCTACAGTTGTCATCCTGAGCCTCCCCTATATTGAATGTACACTTTTCTAGCTCTTGCATTTCTCTCTTTATTGGTGTAACTCCTTCATTTTGTGGGAACACATCCTCTAGTACCTTCTAAGAAAAGATGCACGGTACATAAATGACCTTGCTTCTTTGAAATGTCATTATTTTTGTTATATACTTATACTTGACCGATTGGTGTTGGTAGTCTGGGTAAAGAATCTAGATCATACATCATTCTCCCTAGAAAATGATGGCTATTTTTTTTTTTTTGAGACAGGGTCTTTGTTTGTTTTGAGATGGAGTCTCGCTCTGTTGCCCAGACTGGAGTGCAGTG